TGAGAACTGCTGAGCTGATCACTTTGATTTCTCACTCTGAGAGGTTCAGACCTTAGGAAGGAGATTGTCACTGTTTCTTTGGAATGGATGGACTGTGAGGGGTGGATGAAGAAGATAAGCAGTGAGGAGCCTCCTTTATAGCCAGCTGGATGTAAGTGATGTGTCCCTCTGACTCTTGCAGGGAGAGTGGCCAAGATGGCATTTGTGAACTCTGCAGCCAAGCCCCCTCGGGACGTTCGGAGGAGGCAGGAGAAGTTTGGAACTGGAGGCCCTCTCCTGCCAGAGAAGACCAAGTGAGTGTTTCTCTGTAGCACTCAGGGCCCCCTGAAGCTCAGGAGAGGATACTGTGTGTCTGGGAGCTCCTTTTGCAGGGAAGCTTGTAACTGTAATTTTTTGGGAAGTGCTGAGATCCTGCTGGTTCCACTTTGTATCAGCCCTGCTGCTGTTACAAACATGCTTTGTATCTGTAGAATCAACTCGAAGTGAATCCTTTATGGCAATGCCTGTGCTGTGTCTGTTGCAGAATAAAACCAGTCCTGTACCCCTCCAGCAAAAGCCACGCTCGGGCCAGTGATGAGCAGTCCTACGATGGGCCCAGCACCAGCAGCGCCCACTCGGCCCCGTCTTCAGGTAGCACCTTCTCCTCCTACGACCCCAGGAAACCCCCTGTGAAGAGTAAGTACAGCCTGCAGCACACCCCTGTGGCCTCTCAGAGCTTAGGAACAGCTGCTTCTGCTGGGGGAGGATTCCTGTGAGGGAAGGGTTGGTGTTGGTGCCTCTCCTCTCTCTGTCTCTGTTCAAACTTGTTGCAAATATTTGATTCACCCACTCAGAGCTGACTGGATCAGCCTGTCCTGATGGTACCAGTGAGGCAGAACCTCTGTCTGCCCTCCTGCTGCCCTGTGTCTGTCCAGCTGTCTGGAATTGGAGTGCAGCTCTGTCTGGAAGGTTTAACAAGGGATCAGTGTTGGTGCAGTGCAGAAAGCAGCACCCTGTCCTCAGTCTGTGACCTAAAAACTCTGATGGGCCCTGCTCAAACCCTCCTGTCTGCCAGGGCTGCAGCTTCCAACTGCTCTCAGCTCTTCTTCCATCACTTTTCCTTTCATGTGGGGGCTTTTTTGTTTGATTCAGTGGTGGTTTGTTTTCCTTTCTCTTTTGCAGAAATTGCACCAATGATGGCAAAGACTATCAAAGCTTTCAAGAACAGGTTCTCTCGGAGATAAGTTTGCAGTGCTGAGCTGGGCCTTTCTCTCTTGGGGAGGAGTGGCACTGGAGGGGGAGAAGGCACCCAAACAGCCCTTCCTTATCTTTGAACTCTTTGGAGGCTGCAGCTGCTGGGAGAAGCTTTGATCTGCACAAGATGACGGCACAGTATTTTATCTTTTATTCTGGTCCCTTTCTCAGTGTCAAGCCCCCCCTCTTTTACCCCCCTGTCCCCAACATTCTGTTTCTGGCTTTGTCATCCCTCGAAAGAAGGGTGTACAGAATCTCCTGACACAGGAAAATGTGAAATCTTGGCGCCTGCTGAGAATGGAAGATCCAGAGACTTATTTACAATTATTTAACCTCTTAATAAATTATAAAATGGTTTTAATTAATATTTTGCCCCTCTACCCTGTTGCATTATTTATGTTGCTCCCAGTAGTCCCTCCCCTCCCAACCCAGTCCCAGGGTGTGACTCGAGCTGGAATCCATCTGAGGGGACACTGGGTGTCACAGGAGCCTTTCCTGTCACCTGCTGGGCCCAAAGTCTCACCTGGAGACTCTGGGACAGGCAGGACCAGTGGCCCAGCCACTTGCCAGGCCTTTGGCTTTGCTCCCTGCTCGTGTGTGTCAATAAAATCTGAGCTCCTGACCCTCTCTGTGCTGTTGCTGTAGATCCTGTCCAGGTGCTTTTGTGGTCCTGCAGGGATGCCAAGAGCCTTTGGGGACGTTTCCTCTGCTGCTGTTGTCTTCTGCTGGCTGCTGGGAATGAAACTGCCGGGGGTTTGGGAGAACTATTACTGTGCATCAAGTCAGATTTTAACTTTTTATCTGAGAGAGATTGGGGACTTTGCAATGGAAACCATGTTTTAAATAGCAGTGAAGGCATTGTTTGCCTCTTATAGTGGGAAGCAGGAAGGAATTCTTCTGTCTTGTTTTCTGTGTGGAATTGCAAAGGATTTATTTCCAGTTGGGAAGATCCTAAAGTCTTTTCCCTGTACGTTTTGCTCTGTCCCTCCTTTGGAAAAATCCAAGGGTTTTGGTCTTTGAACCTGAAACCACTTGAATGAGGTTGGAGGGAAGTGAGCAAGGGAATGTGGCTGTTGTAACACGTGTGTGTCCTCCAGAGCAGGAGCTCCAGAGGCTCCCTTGTGCCTGCTGTGTGAGGAGCTGGAGCTCAGGAGGGAGAAGGGGCTGGATGGGGGTGCCAGGGGGTGCCCTGGGGCTCCTGGAGAGGTCAGAGCCCTGCTGGGGATGTGGGGATGGCAGCTGGGCTCACAGGGCTGGGCACAGTTTGTGCTGCTGGGAAGGTTTCTGCCTGTGGGCTGTGTCTGGGGAAGGTTTCTGCTCATGTTTTGTCTGCCCCAAAGGGAACCCCAGGAGTGCTGCAAGCACAGGATGGGGCTGGGGAGACCCCAGGCCTCTCTGGGTCGGGGAGGGGAGGGATTCTCCTGTTCCAAGCCATATTTGCTGCCCTAGGACTTTGCTGTCTGAGTGGAAGAGATGCTGGTGGTGGATGCTGTTGTTGTTGGCAGCTCCTGAGAAGCTCTGCTGGCTTTCCATGGCTGCCAAATCCCAATGTCTGTGTGCACTGACCGGGGGAAACCTTGCTGTGAAGGGTCCTCCCTGGAGGGCTCCAGAAAAATCCTTGTTTTGCTTCTGGTTTCTGTTGGGTTGTTTGTTTCTTTCCTTTTTATTTTTTCCACCTGCTTTAGAAGACATGTCTTTCTTTAAAAGCATTCTGAACACCTGTCTCCTGTTTATTTGGTCTGTTCTTTGTTTGGTTTGGAATTCTTGGAAAAAATGTTCTCAGACTCTCATGTGCTGTAAGTTTGTTACAGTCCCAGATGCTTTAATGTCCCCGTGCAGCATTTCAGTGTGTGTTGTGCTGTAAGATAACGGCTCCTTTACTCTCCCGTGGTTTTGCTGTATTTAATTTTGCTGTATTTTTAATTAGATAACAATATATTCTCTTCTGCTGACCCTTGTGCTACTGTTCATTTCTCCTCTGTGCTCGGGGTGGGGGCAGAGGGGAGGGAAGCAGAGCCTGGTGTTGTTCAGACACGGTGGAGCTTTGAGCAAAGGATCTGGGCGATGCCCAAGAGCAATTTGGGCACTGCTAAACTGCCAATTCATTGATCTCCCACTCAGCTGTGGGTATGGCCCAAGCACTGCTGCTCTTTCCCTCTCAGAGCTCCCCCTTTGCTCCAGGCTTTGCCAGCTGTGGCCGTGCTCTGTTTGTGGCACTGCAGGGAGGTGACGCTGGTGTCACTCTGCTCTCACAAGGCCGATGCCAACCCCTCGATGCCAACCCCTTGATGCCAACCCCTCACCCTTCCCTTCCTTTGGCTCGGGCACTAAATCCAGCCTGGGGAGGGGCCGGCACCGGCCCTGAGCTGGAGCAGAGCAGGGATATTTCCCTGGGGACACTCGAGGCAAAGTCTGGGATCAAAGTGCTCGGGCTGTGACACTGTGTGCTTGTTCTGTGCTCCTCCACATGCTGCAGGTGGAGCAGAGCTGCCTCTTCCACCCATCCCTGCAGGAGGAGGAAGAGGAGGAGTGACTAAGACTCGTATTTGTATTTTGGTCCCAAACTCTGTATATATATATACAATTTTCTATGTTCCTTTTTTTGTGGTAACTAAGATGAATATTTTAATTAGATAAGTTATATGAAAAAAAGAGGAGAATCATGTCTCAATAAAAGCCCAACACTGGACTGTGCCTGCTCGTTCTTTCCTGACACTGACAACGAATATTAAACACACAATGGGCGGAAACTCCGTGGCTGCTCGGAGGGTGATGCTCCGGTATCCCAATTCCGGTCTCCCGGCGGGGGTGCTGCTCCCGTTCCTGCGCTGTTTGGAACGATCCCCGCGGATAATACCCCCGGAGCCTTTGTGGGAAAGCAGCAGCCATTCCCCGGGCGGGGCGGGACCACCGGGACCCCTCCCCGGTATCAGCGGGCGGATCACGGGCTCAGCACGTGCAGAGCCAGACCCCGCCCCATATGGGCGTAGCTACAACACAACGGACCAATCACCGGCTTGCATGGGCGTGGCTATGTACATGAGGGCGTGGCTAATTAATATATGCGATGACGTCAGAGAGATGGGCGTGCCATTGAGCAATGTAGGCGTGGTTTCGGTGACAGAAAGGCGTGTCCTGAGGCTCTGTGGGCGTGCCTGGGCGCCGCGCATGCGCGCTGGGCGGTGGCGGCGCGGCCATGGCGCACGGGCACGGGCCCGGCCGGTGCCGCTGCTGCGGGGAGGAGGCGGCGGAGCGCGGCGCGGCCTGGGGGCTCTACCTGCGCATCGACCGGCAGCGCCTGCAGTGCCTCAACGAGCGCCGCGAGGGCTCCGGAGCCACCGTGTTCCGGCCCTGGGAGGAGCGCGGGGACCGCTCGCAGGTGGGACGGGGAGCAGGGCCCGGGGAGCGGGGCGGGCACCGGGGCACCGAGGGGATCCTGCCCTCGGCTCGGCCCCAGGGAGGCTCAGCTGAGCGCGATGTACGGGCCTGGGCCGCTCAGGGCGGGAGGACCTGCTGGAGGGGGTCACAAAGATGGTTTGGGGTCTGGAGCGTCTCCCTGATGAGGGAGCGGGGCCTGATCAGGCTGGCGGAGGGGAGGCTGAGAAGGGATCTCATAAACCCATAAAATATCCCTAAGGGGTGTCAGGGGAGATCCCATAAATCCATAAAATATCCCCAAGGGTGTCAGAGGGAATCCCATAACCCATAAAATATCCCCAAGGGTGTCAGAGGACAGTGCCAAACTCCGTTCAGGGCAGGACAAGGAGCAATGGCCATAAAATAAACCACAACGAGTTCCACCTCAACGTGAGGAAGAACTTCTTGCCATGAGGGTGGCAGAGCCCTGGAACAGCTGCCCAAGGAGTCTCCCTCTGTGGGGACATCCCAAACCCACCTGGACGTGTCCCTGTGCCACCTGCTGACCCTGCCTGGGCAGGGGCTGGGCTGGGGCATCTCCAGAGGTCCCTTCCAATCCTAAACAATCTGGGATTCTCTGAGCAAGATAATCAGGGCCCCCTAAACCCCACTGGGGTGATCCCTCCAGCTGTCCCCAGCACCCCCTGACCTGCTCTTCTCTGTCCCCAGTTTGTGGAAAGTGACGATGATGAGGAGCTGCTCTTCAACATCCCGTGAGTTCCATCCCCTGGCACTGCCCTGGCTGCTGCCAGGGCTCCTTCCCCTGCCCTGGGGCTGCCTGGAGAGCCCAGGGGTGAGCTCTGTGTGTCTGAGCAGCCTGTCCGTGTGTCTGGGCAGGTTCACGGGCAGTGTGAAGTTGAAAGGAGTCATTGTGATGGGCGAGGACGATGGGACACACCCGGCTGAGATGAGGCTGTGAGTAACCCCAGCTCCCCTCCTCACAGGGGACACCAAATAAATCCATTTCTCTGTGGAGCACTGTTAATGGACGGAATCCAATCAGCTGACCTGCTGTTAATTATTCCCTGTCCTGCCAGGTTCAGGAACATTCCTCACATGTCCTTTGATGACACAGCCAAGGAACCAGAGCAGACCTTCAGCCTGAGCCGGGATCCCCTGGGAGAGCTGGAATATCCCACCAAGTAGGAGCCATTCCCTGGGGGCTGCTGCTGCCTGCCACAGGAGCCCTGCACACACCTAGGGCAGGGGCAGCACAGGGCAGAGCCCCCCAGCTGCCCTCAGGAGGATTTATCCCCCCCAGCTCTGTCCTGCCCTCTGAAACTGCATCCCAGAGCCTGGGGCAGGAATTCCTGGGGTGCAGGATCACCCTGGTGTGAGGGAACCCCCCTTGCTGGGCTCAGGGGAGGTGCAGGAGCAGCAGCTCTGGTCTCAGGGTGTGTTTTCCTGCAGAATCGCCCGTTTCTCCAACGTTTACCACCTCTCCATGCACTTCCCAAAGAACTTCGGAGCTGAGACAACCAAGATTTTTTATATCGGCCTGAAGGGGGAGTGGACGGAGGTGAGTGAGAGCAGAGAGAGCCCAGAGTGTGGGAGGGGCTGGGATCGTGCTTTTCCCTTGTGGGATCTGTGGGATCCTGCCGTTCCCCCGTGGAATTCTGCTTTTCCCCATGGAATTCTGCTTTTCCCGGATTTTAAGCGTCCCGTCTCCACCCAGGCTCATCGCCACGAAGTCACCATCTGCAACTACGAAGCCTCGGCGAACCCGGCCGACCACAAGCTGGAACAGATCACCCCCCAGACTCACTTCATCTCCTAACGGGAGCCCGCCCGGGGCAGGACGG